CATTCTGCCTGTATGCGGTATACCTTCAAATAGAAAAAAAAACCATTTACTTTTTTACTAAGCCCATCCTATAAAAATTCAGCATTTCTTATGCAAAATCCTCCACCTACTGTCTAATACCTGTCCCCAACCTTAACAGGAAGGACCGTCCAACAAAGCAGCGAATGGCTGAAGGGTAAGGTAATGTGTGCTTCAAGTAACAATTTTTAGTCAAATAACTTGAAATAATTTGCTTTAAAATTTAGCATCAAAATACTAGCTAGGCCTTATTGCTGTGGTAAATATGCCTCTAGTCTCTCTGTGAGACAGACAGCAGGCCTGGCACCATATCTTTGCATTTTTTGCAATACCGATAAATCATGTTCGCTTTGCTTACATTTAAGTATGCTTGTTTCTCCGTCGTAGCTTATTCGTTCAAACTGTGTCCGGCATTCTTTACCCTGCGGACTAACTCGACAGACACCTATCTTGTGGGAGACAACAAAGATTGGTTCTTCGCAAACGATAGGTTCACTGAAATGAGACAATTAACTGCCAATCAATACAGGGGATGGACCTTGGATTGGTAGACACAGTGGTAGAGATTCAAGGTGCCAGCCTTCAGGATCAAGGGAGGTTTGAACTTCTCACTGTGCATATGCTTGCATCCTTGGACAAGGCACTCGATATATGTTCATCTCTCTTTAGTCACAAGTATAATGGTACACATACTAGATGGAAGGAAAGAAGTTAGCATACCTGGGAAACTGACCCTTGACCTTGCATACATAAGTTTTCTCTAATTCTCTATTTCGTACATAAGTATCAAGCTTCTTTGAGACCTCTGTTGTTCTAAAGAAAATAATGGTAAATAGACACTCAAACAAAAAGTTAGAAATATTTCCTACTATATTTATAATTAAGAAAAGATAATTTAAGTACGGTATCATGATTAAATGATAAACTGAATATTCATAATGTACAAATTTCAATAGTTTCATTTAATTGCCTTTCTTATAATGAAAATATAGCAAAGCACAAACAATATAATAATCTTTAAAAATGTTTATCTAAAAGGGACATGTATCCACACAAACATTTAGGATGAACTGTATTTTATCAACTACTTGTTTAAAATGTTAAAATCCTTAAATTCTCTATCCCTGATTGGCTCATTTGCTAAATCACATGACTATGAAATGATTAGATATTTTAATAAATAAACTCACCTTGCAAAGATCAACAGACCTGATGTAAGTCTATCAAGACGATGAATAGCTAGAAAATAAAATTAACATTGAAAGAGTCAATGCCTTTGCTATATCCATTTTGCTTTGCTGGTAATCAATTTAAGTACTGTATATTCATAGTACACAATATGTAAAATACAGTATATTTTTTTTTCTTCACAATGTTTTTTTATTTTTTTAAGTCCTGTGCTCAAGGACACACAAAAGCACATAACAAAAAAGGACAAAAAAAAAACAAAAAACGATTGTTCAAAAAAGTTGACAGTACTAAAACAATCACTCAATATAAAAAAATACAGTATATTTAAATAAATCAAAATTTAAATATTTCGGAAAGTATTATAATAGGTGGAGCCGTATTAGTGTACTTTGTAAAATGAAACGCTTGTAGCACTTTATTGATTTAATCTTCGTCCACACTATAAAATTTTATGAGACAAAATTTTTGTGTAATATGACATCATCATGCCCATATATGGGCACATCACACACGTTTGTCACATAAAATTTGATAGTGTGGACCAAGTTTTATTTGATACAAATGATTACATGAGCTTTCACCAGCAGTCTACGCTGGCTTCATCAGGTGCAGACTGCAAGTATTAACACCAAACAAGAGCGTGTTATTCAACTTACTGTGTAGGCCTGTGAAGCCATATTCTTTCCCGAGGATAAAAACAAGGCTGTTGTGCCTATACTTGCCACAAGGATGGACCTGTCATGGGTACAAAATATCATGGGATTATTGAAAAGGTTTGGCATACGGTATATTAAACATGAGCAGTGTTATAGATAGTAATTTATAGTGCTAGATACATTTTAGGGTGGGTTACACAGTAAAAGGCTCACTAGGGTCAGGGGCAGATCACTTTGAAGACAATGTATTGATTGTAGTTCAATAATCATATTTTTACACTTGGAAAATACCCATTAAATTCAGACATTCAGCTGTGACCAAACATAAGGTTGGTTTTGGATTTTCTTTATTTTGAAAACCTTTTTCTTTTGAATTTTCATAATAGTGGTGATTAAGTGTTGGTTAGGAATCTTCAGTGCTGGGTAGCTGTCCAGAGTTGGGTGGAAGTATTTTAACACGTTAGTCCATTTTAAAGAATTATCGTTGATATTACTGCTATCCTCCAGAAATAATTGATCGAATAAATAAATAAATATATAACAGAGTAGTAGCAGATTTAAAACTTTTCTAATTAAACATTAATAGAAGAAAATAAAAAAAAAGTTGGTTTATCTTTCCACCTACAGGAATCGATGGTGGCTTATCAACAACCACCACTTCCTCATCGCTGTGAATTATTTTTATTGGTTCGTTGGTCACCGGTGGTTCATGGCGATGCACACGAGACCGCAAAATTTCATTGGAGTGTAGAAGCCTGTCGTGAGATACACGTTCACCATTTATCGTGAGAAGTCCCACAGCTATTGCTTTCTCCTGCAATAATTATTTTCCAAATTACAAGAAAGAAAATTCTAAAATTAGTACTGAATCAGAAATAATTGATAATGTGATGAAAGATGTTTTGTAACTTCTATAAAATTATTGTCTTAGTAGGAAATGATCATTAAATTGTATTTGAAAAATCATCATCATTAATATTATTTTTTATTCAATGTCAACCGACTACAGGGTGAAGGCCTTTATGGAAATATTATGCAATAAATACAGCAATTAAGACACTGAAAAAGTTACAAGCTTTCATTCACACAGTGCATATCTTCAGTTGAATGAATGAAAATCTGTGTTCTGTGCTTTTCCTATCCAGGTGCGGAGTTTTATTTAGCAAATTGGCTAATTGGTTTAAAACTGAATTTTGATTAGCCAACACAATATAATAGCTTTAATTCATTAGCTTTTTAGCCAAATATAGCTTTGATAGGATATGGCTTTTTAGCTAATGACAGGTTCACTCTGCAGGTTTTATGCAATAAAAGAAGTGATTATGCCATAAATAATGTCAAAAATGTTGTGACTAGGGTAATTACATTAGTCGATAATAAAATATTGTATGCATGTGGAGCATTCAACCAAATGGTCATAGGTTGAGGAGGAGTTCGCTCAAAATGTTCAATCTCAATGCAAATTGTCGGACTTAAAAATAATTATTCTAAATATATTTTTCCCATAGATTTTACCATCACTCCCTGATGGCTGGGTCAAGTGTCCCCAATGGCTAGGTCCAAGCCCAGCTGGTATTTCCACTGGCCCTACCCCTAGGGACATGAACATGGCTCCTATTGCATAACATATTCTGATTGGTCAGTAGTGAAGACTGACGCACGTACTGGAAAGGTTCACTATCAGCACATGATCGGCAAAGATTACATACAGTAGATTGAGCATCAATCACTATCATCATAAATAATTTCAATAATAGAGATATTTATCATTAATTTAATCATTACTAATATAACAATAACTAAAAAAAAACCCAAAAATATTAAATTTGATTACAAAGTTCACTGTCTTACATAGAAATCTTTAGCCTCTGAACGGAACTCTTTTTTGCAGACTTCTAACACCTTCCTACCATACCATCGCCCCTTAATATGACATTCAAAAGTATAGATATATGGCTCAACACATCGGAAACCTGTTGTAGAAAAAATACAAAACGTTGCAATAACACACAGCATCATACTTTGAAATATGATGAGTGTTGTAATGTTAACTCTATATTTTTATTATCTTGACTACCAAGGTACAGGCCCACCACCAACACCTTTAGCATTTTTCTTACCATCTTTAAAATAGTAGCTAGTTTCATCATATCTTTTATCGTTTCTGAATTTCTCTATTTTCTTAGGCCGAATCTTCTTCAACTGCTTTTGCTGCTGCAAGAATAACCACAGATTATGATAAGCAATGCTTACCCACATTCAATGAGAAACATATACTTTGGTAAAGGATTTCTTCCAATTCTATGTTCATGGATTCAAGTTCTGTATTGGGCAAGACATTTTTATCAATACAGTACAACCTAAGAGGACACCATTGAGACCATAGTTAGTGTCCCCTTATAGAGCTGTAGTGTTAAGATATTTTTTTTTTCTCATTACACAGCTGTAAAAGTACCCCCTTTTAATAGGGGTGTCCCAAAATAGGGGTTCTACTGTACCTCTGACTTTAAAAAATTTGTTTGTTATTTCAGTGCTATTTTTAAAACTGTGTTGTAATTTTCAAATGGCTTTGTTAAAAACACCAGTATCAAGTTTTCTGTTTCAAAACATAGATTATTATTTAAAAAAAATATTATTAAAAAGTATTATTGTTGTTGTTATAACTTCAATCAGGAGTATGAATAGATAAATGGTAGCATACTACTGCTTTTGAATGCAACTTTTACAGTTCTCTTTTTGAATAATGGACTATTGCTTGGTTTCCATACAATCGCTACACACTGTCGCTGGCAGCTTTTGGTGATGCTGATTGGTCGGTTGAATCGGGGAGCCTTTCCAATTGCGTTGGAGACTACTACGAATTAAAATGATTACACTGAAAACACTGTAGCGTCAGTGTAGCAATTTCAAGGTAACCAGGCTTAAACGAACTGAAAGCAACAGTGAAAAAGAAAATTTGGATTTAAGTTATACACTTTATTTTACTAACCATTTCAGTACCTATTATGTGTGTTTATGTTTGTGATGAAAGGGAGTAACTAATTTGCATAGCAGCAATGATGGATTAACTAGGATGATCAAAAAAATCATATCATCAACTTTAGCATTTGCAACCAAAGAAAAGAGACAGTAATACATTTTCCATTAATATAAGGAACTTTATTAAAAATGTATAAATATTCCAGTACAATGGTCATAGCACACAGTAATTGTATGAAAATTCACTAATAACTACTTTATCAACATTGATTCTTACATGATAAATATAATGCAGAACATTTTTAGCACCAAGTATACACTATTAGTATGTACTCTTAAGTATTCATTCATAACTACATAATCAACAGTGAATCTTACGATAAAAACACAATGCAGAAAAAATGAGTTTTTAGCACCATATACATTATTAGTATGTACTCAATCATAACTACTATAAACACTGCATCTCTTCATGATAAATACAATGCAGAAAAAAGAATTTTTAGCACCATGTATACATTATTAGTATGTACAGTAATCATATTCACTCATAACTATATCATCAACATTACATCTTATGAAATAAATACAATGCAGGAAAAAAAGTTTTTAACACCACATACATTACTGTAATATTATACTTTTGTCTGTCTGACTCCAAAAAGGTTGTTTGATCAAACAAATATCCAATACCGCATACTTGGCATTATCAGACATTCAAACAAACTGAATGTCTGTCCACAAATTTAATGAAACTACTGTAATACATGTGATTTTCCCCCCATATATGACAATCATCATGCCCATATATGACAATCATCATGCCCATATATAAGTGGATGGAGGTTACAAAGCGCTTTGCTTTCCCTGGTCATTGGGTCCATATAAGGGGCGAGGGATTAAAACCCTGACCTCAAGCTAGGGAAACCAAACCTTTTCTGCTGCGCAGAACTGCTTCCAGAATATATACTATATATGGGAGTGATATGACTATCATCATGCCATATATGGGTGGACAGTTTGAATGGCGCTTAAGAAATATAGTGCAAACTAGACTAACCTTACTACATCATGCATTGTAGCATTCACTTTAACAGCATTCTACATTTTTGCTTCAAATTTACAGGATTAAATGTCCTGGAGTGTGCCCTCTGGTTTTCTTATTTTAATTTCATAATCATACATTGCAGCAAACCATTTTGGACAAACACTCTGTGATTCCACTTTAAATTTGGAACATAACATGAATGAGGTATGCTCTTTAAAATTCTATGTGTGAAACCAAAATTTTGCATCTTCGTCAAATTGTTCCACCACAGACTCAGATGATAATCGTAACTGATTGTCACCGTTGATTTTGGCATCCTGTGGGTACAGTCCAAGGTACTCCACTAACGCTAGATTTTGTAGGTAGGTCATTTCTTTCGGGCATTCTATGACAGTTGAAATTCTTTTCCTGTATCCTGTATCCCGTTTGAGAGTACCGTAGTAGCGTTTAAATACGATGATTTTGTTTTTATCTGGCTGCGTTTTCATAGGTAAGCGTTTTCCTTTAACATCTTTACAGTATTTGCCGTTCTTGAAGTCCACGTAGCTTAATCGTTGACCATCTAACATGTAATGATGACGTTTACAGGACGGTTTATTGCTCCAAAGGCCGCAATCGTCCGTGTATAGCGTCTTTTTGCAGTCGGAGTATTGATTGATATTATCAATGACAAAGTAAATATTCTGTTTGACCCCTTTCGGGATACTGCGAACTGTTGGTTTGTAAGTTATCATGACCTTCAACACATCACTGGGGGTCAAGAAGCGGTCTAGTTCTCTCATGACGACATCACAAACCTTCTGAGAAGAGTTGGTAAGAGCTAAATGCAAAGCAGTTGATTTGTCTGAAATAGTCAAAAAGACAAATAACATTATAATAAAATTATTATATAATTAATATAATAATATTAATGATCAAATAGTTTTTTCAACGTTTGAGAAAACATAATCAATGATTAAATACCTTATTTTCCAGTTGTTGATTTTGAGAACAATAATATTAACAATGACATCTTATAACAATAATATTTATTATAATAATAAATTAAATTGTAAATTAAATACAATATATAAAAACTGAATAACAAGTTGGTAGGCAGTGAAGGCGAGTGACATCCAGTGGCTTCACAACAAAAAACAATAAATAATGTAAATATGATTAAAAATTAATAAATGATAAATATTATGTTATGTTTGTTAGCTCACCAGGTGGAGATGCTTCGACTACCATTGCAGTAGAGTCATCAGATTCTGATAAAACTTCAACTGGCTGTGTTAATACCTAAATACAATAAAATGATTAATATTAACTTAAATTAAGGTAGAATAATAAAAATAATCTATACTTTGTTCTTCATACATACTCTTACAGAGAAAGTTGAAGATGAATATTAATGGTTAAAAACAAAAAACCCTAAAAATCAATTAAAAAATACAATTGATCATTCAAAAGAATCAAATAAGCCATCAACTTCCAATGAAACAAAAATCAAAACAATTAGATTTTGTGATTTGACTTTCAATAAAAAAAAAAATAATAAAATTCATTATCAACCAGTTTAAGGGTCTATTCCAGGGGTGGGCATAAAAATGGATTGGAGGGCCAAAATAAATTTTTGATTTAACACTGAGAGTCCCATCCAAAGGTTGATTTTGCAGTGTGTTTCTAAAAACCTTCATGGACTGTTTTTATACCACTTTGTGCAGTTCTAATATTACTTTTAACAGATGATCGGTTTCAGTCTTAAAAATCAAGAAGATTTCTAGCCAAAAGATGGTTGGTGGGCTGCACACTTAGGGTTTTCAATTTCTTTTTTGTGGGCCGCAACAAAATCACCACCATGTGACCCAAATGATGCACTTTGCCTACCTGTGGTCTGTGCGAAGAAAAAGTAAAAACCAATTTTCTTGCTTAATTTTTGAATTTACAATGAATACTTACATTTGGAGCATCATTTGATGGTTCTGACTCGTCAATGGTGCTGTTTATTACAACCGGTTCAACTGTACACACCAATGGTACAAAATGGTTTGGAATCCAAAGCTCTTCATTTCCTACTATATTGCCACTCCACATAATCATTACGTCTTTACTGTCCGTTAAGTTGCGTGGTGCAAATGTACGATCCAGTATCTTATAACATCTATCACGCAGTCCATTCACAGGGGGATAGACAGATCTTATTGGTCGGCCTAGGACGGAGGATGCTGCGTGGATAGTCCACGCAGAGGAAAAACATCCGTTCTGCGCACATTCAACACATGCCTCGTCGAGGTCTGGTGAGACGAGCAGCAATCCGGATCTAACGTGCACCTTCTTGTAAAAGTCTCGGTTAGAAACCATTTCAATCGTTGTTCTAACACGCAATTCTGCCGCTTTGGTTGAGTCTCCAAATACAGCGACTGACAAAGCGCTAAACAAACAGTTGCCATCCCCGTGAATGACCGTGGGAATGCTGGTGACGTGTGGTACATACTTTTTTAATATCTGGTCAGCAGTTCGATCAATCTGATATTTTGTTTTCTTTGAAACTTGTTGCAAATTGAATTCCGATTCATTTCTTAGAAGGATTTGTTCCATTCTCACACCCTGCTCCAATTGTCCGATGGCCGCTGACTCAGTCAGTCGAGAAATCGCCGAATCAAAATTGTAGAGACCATTATGATTCTGGCAGCATGTTGTACAAATATATTCTCGTAATAAACTGTTTACTTGCACAAGTGATCTTGGAGAACGTGTTATGCTTTCGCATTTGTAGTGATACCAGACGTTGCAGCTACCGCAGTAAACTGACCGACCTTCACAAACCTCATTGCAAACTCCACAAATATTGGTATCTGACTGCTTTCTCTATTTAATGAAGAGAAAAAAAAACTTTATGTTAATCCAAACTTATCTAAATAATGAAATAATGACATTTAAACTGCATTGTATAGTTCATGAACTATGTTATTTTGATCCTTTGTTCATCTTCAGAAATGACAAACTATGAAATTTTAAAATATTCAATCCCAATCAAATAGTGTGTCTATAATTAGAGTTTACATTATCTTATAAATATTTTTGTACTTTTCTGTTTCCTCTCTAGTAAAATTGGTTGGATTTTTACCCTACAAATTATGCTGTAGTACTGTAATCAGCTAACTCATCTAGTAAAGGGTCTGAAATATTCATAAGACACAAGTAACAGTGCAAGGCTTGTTGCCTTCTCATTGTATATTTGAAATAAAACCATAAAGTAAGGTACTAATATTGTAAGCAAATTAATGTCCATTTAATCCTACAGTATTGAAGTGAATGGGTTAAAGGTATTAACTGACGATATATTTTATTTTAAATATTTCATTGGCACACAGACAACGTGTTCCTCTACTCGTAGTATACTGCACATAAATTGTGTTTAAAAAAACTCATCATAAATAGATAAAAAGTATTAGTACTCACATTTAATTTTGAGTTGCAGATATTGATACCAAAGAAAAAGTTGGTTTCATCAATAGAAAGAAAAAACACTTTAAAGCCAAAATGTAAGTCTTTAAAATGTTATTGCTGTACTATACATGTTTATTCTAAAATACATTGATCGTGAAATTCTATTTTATGTTTTTATTTTTTCATAATAAATTGATGCTTTAATTGTAATTTATTGGTAAACAATTTTAATCATGTATACGGTAGTATATGAATAAAAGTGATTTGTTGTACATGAATATATCTTTTTTGCTCAAAAGAAATTTAATGATTTTTAGATCTACAGATTACCAAATGCTCATACTCAGTAGAACAGGCAAGAAAATCAAGTAGGAATGCTGAAGGCAGTGAAGTTTCGTAGGTCCGTCTTTTGATGAAAACAATGACAGAAACAAATCTATGTGTAGAGGAATAAGTTGCTGGATTGCCTTGATCTCTAAGACAATACACAAAGCATAATATTTATAATACAGAAAAATATGTAACAAAAGATTCAACCAACCACCTCCAACGACTGAACATTTCGAAAACAATTATTAAGGGCTGATTTTGACACAGATTTTACAGATAATTGTGCCTTTGCCTAGTCTCAGTAACCAATGTATATTACGCATTAGTTAGGATAATTGCAACTATTTTCCTAAACCATAAAAATAATAAAGAGATTGGGGGAAACACCATATAAAAGCAGTAAACATTCAAATAAATTGAACTTTCAAATACAGACAAAATGATAATAATGAGAATAATAATGATAAAAATAATAATAATAATAATAATAATAATAAAAATAATAATTAATAAAAAAAACAAAACAATAAAAATAACCTAAACAATAAAAATAATAAACTACTGTAATAGAAATAAAACTTTATAAAATACAAAGAGACTAAAACAATTTACGTCATAAAAGTAAAAAAACGCTGAAAAACAACAACAACAATAATAATAATACTGTTATAATAATCGCCGTGGCTAGAGATTTCTACTTCAATTTGCTAAAGGTATGCCCAGTGAAGAGCCAGAATGTGCGTGACGTCATCTTTAAAGACTGGCATTGCAGATCACCCACAATGAGTGGTGAAACGCAAATGATGTACTGGGTAATTAGCGTTAAAAAGTATAAAACTGTAGGCCTACTTAGTACTGTCATCGATAAATAGGCATAGGTTTATTACCGTTTTGGTCTATAGGCCTAGGACAGGTCTATTTATAATTTAGGAAGCCTATTTCAAATTCAAAAACCTAAATAAACCAACCTTTCTTTTTGATCGCCTTTGTTTATCTTCTTTAGGTACATCTTCTACGTCTATTCCAGTTTCTACTACTTCTTCATTCAACGATACATTATTAGAAGTAGACATGTTCTTCGATGACATAGACCGAAGGCCAGGCCGAGTAAGCCCTTCGATACAAGCTTCAGTGGCCGACGACAGGCGTTTCGAGAGGACGGATATTCTTGAACTTTGTAGTACAGAGTACGAATACGATATTTGGCCTAGATTTAGCAACTTAAATTCAGTTGGTAGAAAACAAGATAAACAACTTGAAAGGAAATATTTACGACTACTTCCTTTGGTGAATCTTAGTAAAAGTAAATTTATAGACATAGCCCCTACTAAGCTTTGATTTATAGATGATTTAGCTCTGGTTTAATGATCACACTCAGCAGTTGAACGGGCGCAGCCATCTTTTAAAAGTTATATTTATCTAGATGGCGCTCTTACGAATATGACAAATATGACGTCAAATGAGAATGCAAAATACGTGTAATTTGTGCTCATTATGTTTATTCAATGTACTAATTAAACTGGAATCAACATGAAAATTCAAATTTTATTTACATCTTGTGATGTATAGGTCATAGAGTTCTTTACAACTATATGATGTAATCAATGAAATTAAATTTGAATAAGTCTCCTTATTCTATAAATCATTTTGCACCCAATATTGTTACCTTCTAACTTCTATTGGATTAGCGATACACATACACCATTATTTATTAAATTCTGTTAAATACAATTGTCATATTCAGTCTTGAAGCACTGAATCTTTCCACCATAAGGCTGATGGACAAAAAAAAAATGTGTTCCACAAACAGTGATATTTGATGTTAGGATTGGTCAGTTGGCAATTATTTTTAACATTATTCTGTGGTTCAATACCAACAATCAACCTCCATATTTCATTCGTGGCCTTTTAATAAAAATTAAAAAAAATTTGGCCTCTTATTGGGAACTTTTGTGTGCCTAATACAGTATACAGTGGTTAATATATTGAGAATTAAATTCTATTCATATTCCTCACTGAAAATCCTGTAAAAAGGTTACATGAAGAATAATTAAACACATTTACTAATTAAAATTGTTATTAAGTTATGACAGGAATATATAAGATTTAAACAAATTATTTCATTGAGGATCAATAAACTACAGTAGTTTTAACTGAGGAAATTAGCATTGAAACTGGAAGCATCACATCATAAAACTGAATTTACTGTAATGTATTGACAGCACAAAATGCCATTGCCGAAGTGGACAGATTTTTTGGATGTATCCTTTTTTCAGGAAGTAAAAGCACTGACTTAATAATAGTGTACAGTATTAACAACATAATATCATATACTGTACAGTAATGTCGTATACATTTATTTAGTCACATTTTTCTAAAGTTAAAAGGCATACATTAATCGCCTGACATATTGAGCCTTTTTGAAAAACAATAATAATATACCAATATACAGCAGAAATGCACCAATATACAGTAGAATTGATTTTTTCACCCTCCAAAATTCATAGCATACTGTACAGGGATGTATAGAGGGGGAAGGGCAATGGGGCATCTAAACAAAAATCTCAATTACTAGCCCTCCCCTCCCCTCAAACCAACACAGATTTTCCTTGGGTCCACCTCTGCTGTAAGAGCTGAAAGGGAACTCTCATATCAGCAATCATAATCTCCTTAAGAATCAGTTCCCTGCTCCATAATGGCACGCTTCCTCTTTCGATGGTTGCTAACCATCTCCGATGCCTGTATCTTGTCAGTGCTGCGTTCTTCCCATTTTTGGTAATCGTGTAGGCTTAATTGTCCAGCCCTAAACAACATCCTCTCATTCTCGTCCAACTTGCTTTTCAATTTGGTTGTGTCCCCATTGTAACAATTGAGTGATGAGTCCATAATTTTTCGAAATCGTCCCGAAAAGGCCTGAAAATAAAGTAGGTAAATATATCAGAATACAGAAATCATTTGAATTACTTTAAATTGTGAAGGATCTATGCTTTTTTTTCTAGATTAATACAGGTACTAACAACATAACTAAAAAAAAAAATGCATAGGCCTAGGCCTAATAATCTAAATTTTAGTTACCTGTAATAAACTTTTGCCAATATCATCGGCTTCAACATGGTCAAAATTCATAAGTTTACTTCCAAATGCATAGTAATAAGGACCCAATTTATGCAAGTTCACAACATTCGCATCAGCGCTCAAAATATCTCTGTGTCCTCTCCTGTACTGCTTTGGTAGATCAATGCCGACGATTTTCTTCTTCCTAGTACGAAGACTTGATGCTATCCAGTACGGTAGCTCCATTTTGGTGTTGGGTTGAATATCTGCGCTTTCGTTACTTGGGTCCAAAAAACCTAGCCTCAACATCGGGACTTCAAAAACACAGGGAATCTTTTCTTGGCTGGCTAGAATATCGTGTATATTGAAGTAATTTTCGGTATGACTACCATGTTTTATGTATCTCTTCTGTGCATTCATTATAACAGAACAATAAATTGAGTCAAAAATACCATACGCTACGTCAAAAACAAGCAATTAATTCACTTTTAGATCCTAGGCCTAAGCTAGGCTAGTTCTTCTCCCTGATGAATTCCGCTGTGAAAATGAATTTCCCCGCGAACGTAATTTTTGGAAGAAACTACGGACTTGTAAATAAAAACTAGGAACAAAATACCGCGTTGAACCGCAAATTTTTACAATAGTGTCGGGCCAGCCAAGTCGTCTGCTAAAACTTTGCAAACAATATTCGCCATCATGGGTCTACAGAAATTTACAAGGCTTTTTAAGAAGGGCCGAACTGTAATTATTGGAATGGTACATCTGAAATCCTTACCTGGTTAGTGTCTTTGATACTAGTGTGTCGCATTCCATAGGTTAATTGCATGTTGTTGTAGAATAATACTGAAAAAATGGTGATCAAAGTTGTAGCCCCAAGCCCGGTGACAGCTATGTATGCAGTGAATGAGTAGTAGTAGTACTACTAGTAGGCTATCTCATTATCACGCGGTGGCCAGGTGGTGTTCAAGTGGGCTTGGGAAGATTGGGCCCAGGCCGTTTCGGCCTCTTTCTCTCCCCAATGCAGTGACTACTTTTCCACCGGTCTTAAATCAATTCCTGATTCTGTTATGTATGATTGCGCTACACACCCACCCCCCGCCCTGATTATGATGATGGTGGTGCTGATGTCAGTGATGATGATGGTGATGATTATGAATGGGCACTGGTGGTATAATAATAATAATAATAATTCTGGATTTATATAGCCCCTCATGTTGACACAACCTCGAGGCAAGGCAAAGTGTGGCTTGCGGCCAATATGCGGCTTGCGGCCAATATGCGGCTCGATGGCCATTGTGTTGCAGCCCGCGAAAATAAATTAAAATCCCTATGTTTGTGGCCCGCTGACATTCTTTGGCTGGAAACCCTCCTTCTTTTGACTTTGTATGGCCCGACACCGGTCATTTGTAAAAAGTTCTTGCAGAAAAATATGTAAAAATAAATCAATAAAAATATCTTCATAACAGGAACTCCCGGAAATCGTCTGAAAGTTGAGGACATCACAGAAATTGCCTGTGCTGAAGCTGAGGGCTATAAAAAGCTTGGTGTTGTAAGCATATTATTAACTAATTTATTATTTAAATTAATTTTTGTTTAATTTAATCGTTTGATTATCATCATTAACTTAATGATAATAATTGAACATTTAAATAATAAAAAAAGACAATTTGAAGAGCTACTGTATAGTTTTCAAAGAGATATAGAAATGGATTGTTTCTTGTAGAAGTTGAAATTTGATTTTATTATTTCTTTAAAAAAAACCATTGGTTTTCTTAATACATCTTTTAATTTTGCTCTGAATCATAATGCAGTATCCAGTGAGACAATATTAAAAACATTCCATGATATTTACACTGTACAATTGCATCTTTTTATGAGACATTCCAGATTCATCCTGCTTTGCCATTTTAAAAATGGAAACATCCCGAACTTTTCTTCCTGAAATTTGATAAATACCGTATTTATTTGAATAAATGCCCTGCTTTGAGTAAACACCCCCTCGAATAAGTGACCCCATAGAGCCTCATTTGGAATAACGTCTCCCTCAAATAAACACCCCCCTAAATGACTTAACAAATCTAATGGAAGCAAAATCATTCTCAACACATTCTATTTGATCTACTCCATTTAGTACGTTTTTCTAACTTGGTCGGGATCAATTTCTTTATGATCACGCATTAACATATTTTGAAGGTAATTATGTGTTAGTTCCACATTTCCTGTGAAATTAAGGGGCGTTATTTGAGTATATACACATCCATTTTACACCCCAAAAAAAAAATAACCTCCCTCGAATAAATACTCCCTCAAAAACTTTCTCAACAATAAACGCCCCAGGGCATTAATTCAAATAAATACGGTATGAGAGTCCACTGATATGTGCAGCTATGACATAAATAATGTATGTGAAAGTGCTATTTTATGGGGTTTATTATTTTTTTAATTCTCCTATTTTAGGACGGCATCATAGTGGAGAACATGCATGACATTCCGTACCTGCATTCCCGTGATGTCAGCCATGAGATTACTGCTTCCATGGCTACCACTTGTTATCAGATCCGTAAGGAATGTCCTGATTTCCCTATAGGAATTCAGGTGTTATCAGGAGCAAATCAGCAAGCATTAGCAATTGCATTAGCAACAGGTACTGTAAGGCTAACTAAAGCATGATATTTTAATTAACATCAAATTAAAATTGATACCTTCATCAGAAATGTTGTTATTGTTATTTCCTCTTCCAGGGAGGTTATGTATTCACTGCTGTCTGTCTGTCTGTTAGCAAAAACCTAATAAATGGATCATAAAATTTAGTGGAATGGTATATAATAATCGAAAAACCCTTGAGCATAGAAGAAAATATGTTATTTATTCTGTGCCCCTTATTTGGAATACCTTATTTGCATTCAGTAAACGCTTTGATGTTTAAAGATTTAATTGTACATTTGAGCTAGCACTATTCTTAATCTAACTTTGGTTCTTCTTCAGGGCTTGATTTTATTAGAGCAGAGGGCTACGTGTTCGCTCATATAGCAGATGAGGGTATGATGAACGCATGTGCGGGAGAACTGCTACGTTATAGAAAAAACATTGGAGCTGAACATATACAAGTGCTCACTGACATCAAGAAAAAACATAGGCAAGATTAGAGCATCTGCAGTACTACATTACCCATAATGGATTAATAATTACACACAGTGGTGGCTCCAGAAATGTATTATCAGTAAATTAATTTTTACCATAACATGAGGAGTTTCATAATTCCAATTGGATGCTATGTTGATGACAAAGAAAATATTAATACCTGTGTCGTTATTATAATTGTTTTTAAGTTACTCTTTCTGTACTGTGATAATATTCATAGGAAAAATGTAAACTTTTCCACTAAAGCGTAAAGGATGTAGTTGTAGCTATTGTTGATAATAATTTAATTCAAATTGTATTTGTGAAAAATGCGCAGCCGATGAGGGACATGCTGAATACAATATATTATTTTTGTGACATTCCTATTGTGTCTATTCATTTGCAGTTCCCATGCTCTGACATGTGACGTCAACATCACTGATACTGCTAAAGCTGCTGAGTTCTTTCTAAGCGACGGAGTGGTCATCACTGGAGGAGCTACTGGTGAACCTGCAAGTGTTGATGAACTGAAAGGTATGTAAAAGACGAGGGGAAAATGATGGTTATATTATAACTTTGGTGCTGGTGAGGATAATAGTGAGAATGAGGATGATGAAGTTGTTGATGATGTTGCAGCAGCCATAAAATCATTTAAATACTGTAACTGATAAAAAATGTAACTCATAGCCTGTGGTGCTTAATGGACAATTCTGGAGTGTCAATCAGACTTAACCGACCAGTCAGAATAGGGCTAGAAATATGTGTGTGTGTCTCACAAACACATGTTGTCCAACAAATTCTGTGTTTGCATGTTTTTACACAATATCCAATGTGTGGGTCTTAGTGCAAATGTCCGTTCCCTCTGTAGGTAAGAGAATGTCCTAAATCCTCTTTCTCAGACCATAGGACCTTGATGACACTTTCTACCATCCGACAAAACATCCTACATCTTCCCCTGAAATTTTCAACTGATCCCAACATTGTCTGATGGTCACGAGGCTTCAAAAGAAGTTTTATGTTACAATTATCTGATTTGTTCATTTTTCGACATGCTAACATCATATCACATGTATTTTGTCTTTAAACTTGATGGACGACCTTAATAGAACATTAATTGTAAATCAATTTGAAAATTATTCAAATTTTAACTGTATAGTTTTTTAATTTGTTTGTATATATCTTTTGTTTAAAATTTCACCTTCAGTTGTGCAAGATTCTGTCAATATACCAGTTCTGATTGGTTCTGGTGTTACTGAGGATAACCTCCATGAATATTCAAATGCAAACGGCATCATAGTCGGGTCGTCTTTCAAGATGGACGGCAAGTGGGGTCATGAGGTTGATTTCAACCGTGTTCAGCGTTTCATGAACAAGGCAAGATTATTAGAAAGTAAAAAGCTACCAGACTCATCTTGCTGATCAGATCATGGCCCTAGGGAAGAAAATTGTATTACTGTAACTTAACTTATGGTCTTGTCTGGTTGTGTAAATTTATAGCATTGTTAATAGTATTTTAAGTATTCAAATATGTATTTATGACTAAGCATTTTTACTCTGCAACAGGGAATCCTAAAGATAAAATTTAGGAAAGGTAGAAGAATAAACTCGCAGCGTCGTTATGCTAAATTGCGTATAAGTGTAATCTGTAACTAATGTATCAGCTGTACAGAAGCGCTTAGTGGCTTCGTGTTCACATCATTCCATAATGAAAAGGGGCTGAAATGAACTATGACATTGGGGAACCCCCTACTTCTTCCGAAAGATGGGTTTGAAATATTGCCATTGTCAAGGCTGAAGTTAGCAGTGCCCCTACCTTACTGCTCAGCCACTCGACTCACCAATACTGTAATGCATGTTGAATCATTCTTATGCTGAGGTAAACTATGTGGTGCTCTTTACGTTCATCATTTAAGTGATGAATGTAAAATTTGTTGCCAATCCGGTTTCAGTAGCTGTAACCAATTTTCCATCAATTTCAATCACTTTTAGTTGTAGGACGCAAATATTATTGTGATAGTTTACTTCAACTTCAACTTTTTCTCTTAGGTAAACAGTCACAATGTGTACTTGTCGCCTCTTTAAAATTACAGGTTTATTATTTGTTTTCCCACAATGAAAACATGGTTTCAGCTTTTTATCTTTGTTTGAAACAGTTGCCGGTTTCTTATATTTTGAGATAATCATATGCACTTTTTCTACTGCAGGACTTGCACGTTTTTTCTTAGCTGTTTCAATACTCATGGCATTTTTTAGGTTTTCTGCGGCGTTAGCTTTTTTTCTGTTAGAAGATTCCTTTGTATTCCATCAACCAAACGATCTCTAAACATTGTGTTGGGTGTGGCGCCATAATTGCAAAATTCTGCTTAAAATTGTAGCAAAGCCGTAAATTCCGCTACGGAATCATTTTCACAATGAAATCTACTGCTGAACTTGCACTGTTGCACTGTTGCACTGTTTACAATTTCGCTAGGCAAATTGATCAAATGATTTATCCTTTGGCTTTTTTTTGAGCTGCAAGATTCTTAACAGCTTGTATGAAGATGGACCAATTACTGTGAACACTGCTGCCTGTTCCTTCTTCCATTGTGATTCCATTTGCTTTAAAATACGGGTCCAAATGTTCAACGTATTGGGATCATTCCTCCTTTCCCTCTTGGAATTCTTTAATTTTTCCAATGAGCGGCATATCCTCATCGTCAGTGTAGTGTTTTAGATGTAACTATTATAATATAACAACAACAAGAGAGAGACTCGGTAAAGATGACTGTTGCCCAGGAGGATAGTGTGGGTAAAGGTTGCTTAAAAGATCAAAAAGTTGGAGTATAATGAGCTCAATATTACAGATCAGCTGCAGTGATTTATGAAAATTATGAAAAACTTCTAGTATAGGTTTAGCAGTTTTATTACTTCTCGAATCTACACAATTTTGCTGTGCTAGGGTCTCGTTTTAATAAGATTTACCTTGTATCTAGCAATGTTATATTGTAGTGTGAAATTAACTTCCTATAACCTTAGTATTCAACTCCTTGCCCACCGATGATTTTGATCCGGCCCGCGATGTACAGTATACTCAGAAAGGAAGAGATTTTCTGGCTGTGCTGATTTTCATTTGAGAATGCAAGAGGCTTTGCTAAATATTGAAGACCCATTGATGAGCATGACTGAATCTCAGAACTTTGTAATTTAAAGGAAAAATAGAAAGGTTAAAATGAGAAAATGTTCTCCCTCAGTGGGGAGTATACTTGAGGATGATGCAGCTGTTTTACTGAGAACTTGGATAACAAGTTAGATGGGGTTTTCTTTTGTAAACCTTGATCATGAATAGATTTTTTTTTTTCAGCCAAGTGAGAGTCAATCAGGTTACCTGATGCTGGCTGCATGCATTTGGTCGACTGCGATTTACCCGCCTTTGTCAACATTGTTGAAGGAGGCTTAGCTCCTGAGCTTCCGGAGTCTGAGGGTTTTGTATCCATCTTTTTTCGGGTTCCTACCACCTCCGACTCATCAATAATGCTGATTGTTCCATGTTGCCTAAAGCGAAGTAAATTGTAGTTTATAGTTCAAACAAAACACTGTAAAGTTACTTGAGTGTCTGGAGGAGTAGCGCTTATCACTATACCTCGTGCTATGTCATAATGGAGTGTCTTTTGTCTGTGCATGCCCATCCGGATCTCATTTTACAGCTAACATATTATGAAATATAATGGAAAGATTAAACAAAAATTTACCTGTTTGATGTTTGATCTCTATTGTATGAGGTAGAGACTCTTTCACGTGGTGATACGCTATCATACCCCATATAGTCATAATCAGCACTCCCATTTCCCTCAGAATAATAGGAGTGTGAATCTGAGTATTGATGCTCAGGTAAGCCTTCATCATGCTGGCCTTGGCCTAGCTGATAAGCATGACCACCCACAGTAAGCCTGCTACTGACACATATACCTTCAACCATAGTTTTCAGCTATTTTCTTTACACTAGTGACTCAAAAAACATCGCTTCCAAGTGTTCGATGTGGGAGTCAACAGCCTCTGTCTATTTTGCATGCCTCTTAGTTTTAGCAGCTTTAGATTTTTTACCTGCCTTCACGGAGGCAGCTGTTGCTGCCGATCTTTTTTTACCATGCCATGTAGTGGGCTTATGCTTCATGCAGCCCGGTGATCCATTGCCTGGCCCAACAACATGGTTGGCTTTGTCTGGACTAGGATTCTGAGTCTCCTTTGCGATAACTTCACTAGAGCCCTTGAGCATAGTATTTTGCAAAACTTCCATTTTCCAGTTTCTAAAAAATCTAAAATCATGTATATTTCACTATATAGTATTGACACTAGAATTTATTGACATCCAATTTTTAATTCATCAATTAAGTCGTCACACAAGTGCAGAAAGTGCAGAACACATTGCAACGGCAGACCTATGCTGTACTGCAATCAGTAAATTGTTATTTCTTACCTATGATGGTGCAATTCTCTGCGTATCCAACTGTTCCTTTGGCTCGGTAGTTGTCAAGTGAGCGTTGATTTTCCGACCAGTAATACTCTTGCCGACTACCTCTTCTACTTTAAATAGAGACATGAATAGACTTCTTACTAGTCTAGTTGGGTCGTTACTTGACTGCGTCGCACATAACAGGGCTCCTTTCTCTATTAAGATACCATGCCCTACAGTATATACACCTTTTAAAACGAAATTTTAATAAACTTTATAAAAAATTTATGCTTCATGCATTTATTGAATATCATTGATCAAACAGAAAATCTAGTGCCTGTGTTGGCAAATTAAAATTTGTTAATGTATAGTGAGTTTAAGGTAGGTCTCAGCTATAAATCTCAATTAAATTTGAATGACAAAATATTTTTAGTGTGTATTTTGTAGAATTGGTTATATTTTTTCATTTCATTTCTTTAGGCACGAGCGCCAAGGATATGCGTAGCATAGAGACAGTGCGTTCATAAAAGGAAACAATTTAAAATAAATAGAATATACAGAAACACAGCAATGTACACGACGTGAAATTAAAATTCTTAAAATTCGAAAATCTTCATGAACAGTAAGTACTCGTTAGGTACTTGTACTAGATAATGATTTTTTTTGTCTATTTCTTCAAAAATCTAGAAAGAACATCAATAAAATAATTGTAGAACTGTTACCAAAAATCAACAAAATAAAACTACAATTATTTCCTTTATGCTACAGAGTTCGGCACAGTCAATTTTTGTTTTGACCGTACTGTGAAACAATAACATTTAAGTTAAAAGCACACTTTTAATCATCATTGCCTGTGATTGCTGTTGCAAGTATTGTTGTGGTTGAAGTTGTTGCTGCTGCTGCATGAATTGTTGAAATTGCTGTAAACATAACCAGTACATTATTTTGTTTCCATTGGTACATGCTTTATCTACCCAGTCATTGACGTTGATTTTTCTTTTGGTTTGGCAATCTCATTAAGAGTTATTTCCGTCTGAATCTGTTTTTCTTTAGCTGCTTTTTGGAAGCAATTAAATTTTGTTAGATCAGTTAGGTTGCCTTTCTTTTCTGCCCATACGGCCAATTCATCCGCATAAGACAGTTGCAAATCTACATCATTTTTAAAGAAATTTAACATGCTTTCCAAGCTGTGTACTTGCTCTAGAACAAGTTTTCTTTTTCTTGAGGGCTTTTCTTGAGGACAAATCTTTTCAGGATCTGGCAATATTCTACCTTCAGCAACTTGGTGTCCTAAAAATTAAAGTTTTTGATAATAGTGTAACGGAGCTGGTCCTTGTCAGGATGACCACGGGTTCGGCCAGAGCTGTGGGCCCTGGACTTCAGTAAAGTAACAAATACGTGAAATAATAAAAACAAACTCAAATATCACTCTCCAGTGAGTTGAACTCTTTATTCATCATGTAGAATGATTAAATGAATTACAACAGTGATTACTCCCCCTTCATTACTCCTGTAGGTACTACAATTAAACAGGGGCAGACATGTAAAATCCCAAACCGGTATCTTACTCCTACATATCAACATATCAGCTGCCTAATGATACTAGAGAAGATACATCGATCCAGACGAAATCTCTATCATAAAATCCTCCCCTCTCCCTAACTGTACTTAAACTGAAGTTGTTAATTTGCATATCTGGAGGACCAATCTAATTGGTTAAACTAAGTTTGGGCTGATCCACTTCCTCTTTGGGTTAATCCATTCCCCATGACCTTGGTGACCCTGGAGAAATACCAACTTCCATTACAATAAGTTGCGCTTTTCGGGTTTGACATTGAAGTCTCATCAACACCATGTCTGATCGGTAAGAGTTTCTTCAAAGCTAGATCCAAACACCAATGTATCATCCATGTATATGATGACAGTCTGGAAGTTCTGATCACCAAATGTTAAGTCCATAAGACACATGGAAGTGGCTGGACTATTGCAAAAATCCGCAAGGTAGACATAGGAATTCATACAAACCTCCTGTTTCCACACCATCGTGAGCCAAATATTTAGCTCCCCTTTAAAGGCATCTAAAGCTTCTTCGATTTGTGGAAGTGGGTAAGCATCACAATGGATTGGTCCATTCAAGGCTCCACACATAGATGTAGTTTCCCATTCCCATTAATTTATAGACTTCTGCTATATTTGGAGGACAATGTCACTACAATTAGTTTCTCTGTACCGGGGTCTGTACTTCATGAACGGGCATGCCCAACAACTACAACTTTGTAATATACAACCAACGTTACATTCCAACTAAAGGGCTGTATTTACTTTCTCATGGACATCTCTCTAAATTACAATTTGTTGTCCAAGAGGGTTTATTTGTGTTTGTAATATTACTCACAATATTCTGGGTAATGCGAAATCTTGTTATGACTTGATGACCCTGTGTCAATTAGGACTGTTGCATATGTACTGTCCTTACTCTCTGTACTTATACACAGGCTGTTTGTAAGACTGTGTGTATTTTGTTTTGAGTACTGCATGATGATATAACATGATTAACTTTCACTTTACCATATCTCCAGGGCTGAAAATTAACCTCTAAACCCAAGTAGCCAGCAGGGCCACTGAAAAATACATGCCACTGGCCCTGGTCAAAATCAAGTTGACCTGGCTTTTTTCGGCATAACAAATTACAAAATCAAGTACTGTACAAACATAACTTTATATACCTTTATTCTCGTATATGCAGTCTGGGACTGAATTTTACCTGTG